ACCTCAATGCAATTAACAAGCCTACTGAGAAATAATCTTATGCAAGAATTCAAAGGAGTTACTGAATACTTACAGTAGTATACTGTATTCAGCCACTAAAAATTGTTTTAAAACTACCTAGTCTAATTTGGTCATATTTACACTAATTGAATTAAGGTCAAGAAAAATTATCTTCCTGAATCAGTTGATTTCTTTGTGATAACAGGACAACCAGGGTCACCTTTTCCCAATTAAGTAACAATTCTTGTTTCTATATCATAGTTCGATTCAATATGAGACATTATGAAACTACCATATGGAAAACAGAATGCTAACCTTTACTACAGATTTGAAAACTGGTCTTTGGGAGAATATACAAAATGCTAGGTCAGAGGAATGACTTACCTAGTTTTCTCACTGGATAATGTACATATAAAACCCCATGGGCATTCATGCTTAAAGAAGCATTAATAAGATGAAGGGCATCCAGAAGAAGTGAGTGAGTTGTTTAAGAAGAGAGAACTTTCACATTCAACATGGGAAAAACTGCAATTAGAAGAGAATATTCAAAGGATGGGTGCTGTATCCACAAATGTGAAGGAAAGTAAATTTCTGGGTAATAAAGGGACATAAACTTTCTGGTCATTAGAATTTCCTTGAATAGAACAGATGGTCCTGTAACGCAGGAAGCCAATCAAGAGAAAAGTGACTAAGAAGGTGATAGCAATGAAGAATAACTAACTGCATAGAATAAACTGCATTCAAGCAGATAGTTTTAAAATCCATTCCAATCAGAGATTTCATAATTCTCTCCTGTAATTAGAAACTCATTATCATTGGATAATTCCCTCAAGAAAAGTCACAATATAGGATACAGGTGCATTAATCAGTGTTGGCTTTTCCCTCTGAAATTCCCATGCATCAGTACTGGTGTACAAAGATAACTACATGCAATCCTAGTGTCTTATAAATTCTAGGCCTCAGAGAAATCTTGATTTTGGTCCTGTTATTAAACTATATAACCTTGGATAAGTTATTGTTGCCCTAGACCTCAGAGGAACTCAGGTTTGGGGAATATTTCTTACCCCTCTCAGCTTTGTTGTTGTTTTAATATGGTGATGGTTAGAGAACCATAATTACTTGGGTGGCTCTATGGCGTTTAGTGAGCCAGGAATTTAGCAAGTGTCCTGCAATGCCCAGAATGCTAGCATCCCTTTCAATCAGAAATGAGATTAAAGATAAACTGCTTTTCAAGTCAAATTCTGTGGGTCTAAAAATCAGTAATTTTTAGTCAGCAACAGTTCTTTTTCCCTAAAACAGTGAAAACACCTTTTTTTCACTATTCTCAAGTTTATAGACTATAACCAAATATTGACAGACTGGGGTGAAATTTTTTTTAACTGGAAATTAAACCCAGGGCCTCATTCCAGTTAGGCAAGCATGATACCACTGATCTATGTATCTCCACAGACAAGGTCTCCCAAAATTGACTAATAAGCTGGCCTCAAATTTATGATTGTTCTGCCTCACCAAGTACAACAGCTGGATTTACACATGTGTGCACCCTGTCCAGCAGCAGGAAGCATTATATGAAAACAAACAAACGATACTCATTTTAATGCACGATGTCAAGAGATCTGTACAAAGATAAAATTCAAATAACTAGATTTTCTCTACTCTAGACACTATTTAAAAAGTAACAGTTTCTAAATTAACAGATTTAGTTTCTAAACTCTTTGGTGTTTTTTCTTACTAATACTGCATTAATACTTAACAATTTATTTAGCTGGTCATCAGGTGCATTTTCTTTTTAGGTACTGGGGATTGAATCTAGGGCCTCAGGCTTGCCAGGCAGAAGCTCTAACACTGAGCTACATCTTTACCTCTCATCAAGTTCATTTTTATCAAAAGTAAAACATTACTTGTAATAGCTACCAAAAATATTGGACCTTTCAGAAGGAAAAAGTTAATGAATGTCTCAGCAGTTAAACTGTTTAATAGGTATTAATCAACACCTCAGTTTTAACTGCTTTTGACATTTCCATACACAAAACTATAGTTAGGAATAAAGGATATTCTTTCTTTACCATATCAGTATTGTTTATTATTTCTCTTAAAACTCACAGGTATAATGCCTGGCTCCCCCTCAAATCTCTGGTTTCTATGTTTTCTTTCCATTAAAGCCTGGGTTTAATGGAAAGAAAGATGCTCCATTCATCATCCTACCTCATCTCTTCAGTGTTGGCATGACAGGTCTATGTCACTACACCTGCCTTATAATTTTTTTTAATCTTGAAAAAAGATAATTTCCCTTGTTTTTGTTAGAACATTAAATACTTCATATAACTATACTATATAAAACAATAATTTTATAGTGCAAAGTTAGTATTTGAGGCTCTGATACAAAATTTCCAAGAACAAAAATAAGTCTCTTATACATGTTTATATGAAATAATTTAAAGGTCCACATAATACTCAAGGACTCACATTCTTGAATAAACACTTTCTTAATATGATTCCTTAAAAGGCAAACAATGTAAGACCTTTCCCAAAAAGCTCAACAAATATTAGTGCATTTATACTGCTATTTGATATTTTTTATAAATTTTTAATAAATTCTCTAAAATATAACATACAATTTTTAAATGTTAAAGAATAAAATCAGATAAAAAAGAACCAATCCCCAACAAATTAGTATTTAATTTCTTTGTATTACAGAGACGCATATATTTCATTCTAAGAGGCCAAAAGACACATGTTGATGTAGCTAAGAACTGTCAATACTTTAATACATTTGGAGAGTATGAGAAAACAAACTCCAAATCTATGAAAGCAGTAATGCTCACCATTTATTTGTGTTCGCATGGCTCAAAGGGTCAGCAGTAAGGGGACAGTTTATATTTCTTTGGCAGAGATAAATATAATCCACTATATAGAACTTCATATTTCAAGGAAAACTTCAAATCCAGCAGCTAACAGCTTGTCTCTATTTGCTGTCACTGTAGATCAGAGAAACCCACACATTTTTTTCTCCCTCCCCCCCTCCCCTTCAGATACACTTGAGCTCACTGACTGAAAAGGTCTGGAACAGATTAAAAGTCGGGCCACAAAATAAAAAGCTTTGGCGTGTTGTCAAACTGGTCTGGAATACACATACACAGTGGGCCCCAAAAGGGAAACTAAATGCAGTAACAGAATTTCATGAAACTTTTTTGGCATATCTAATTGTGTTTTGTGTGTACCCATGCTGGAGGTAAGGGGAAATTTTTGTAAAAGAAACCCTTATATCTCAAAACAAAAGACTAAGCTATAGGCAGCCATCAGCAGACCTATATAAGATTACAGCAACACTTTCTATTTTACTGTTTTAACTGAAAATATCTTTTTTTAAAAAGTATTTTTTAAAAAGCTTTGCTTCCTTTTTTGACCTGTACAATTAATAGTTAATCACTATCTTTCATAACCGTGTGTATGTGTAGTTCTTTAAATCTCAAAATGTAGACAAGTAGAATTCATTTCATTAAATTTGATTAAGGAAACATGACTGTTATGGTTCCAGTCCGCATAAATGGCAATATTTATTAAATTTTCTAGTACTTTGTTTCTTATTTCAACCACAAAGGCTTATTCAAATATTAAACACAATCTAAAGTTGCAAATTATTAACATGACACATTATTTTAACACCCAAACAAGTCTTGAAGCTCAAAAGGCTGGCAGTCAAGCCAAACCAGGTATGGGTCAAAAAAATGACAGTCTCTGCCCTGACCCCAGCTTTGACTTTACTTTTGAGTAACAGAGGGTTCAATAAGTTCATAAAAATGACCAGTCAGGCATTTCGAGGTAAATCTTAATACTGCTTGCAGTTTTTATGTTTTTCTGGTTTTTTTTTTTTTTTTAAAGGTATACATAAGACACAGGAGAATTGTTCGTAATGTTCCTGGCAGGGAAGTTATTTTACCCAGCTAGCTCCAAATAGCTTTCTTTTTCTTTCTTCCCCAGGGTTATGTTTTCATGGCATTCACAGAGTTAATTCCTCTTTCCCGTAAGGGCCCCACAGTTGTTGTTAGGTCAACCCCTGTAAAGCTTCAAAGGTTCCGGCATCCCCTCAGTCTGACCTACTCAGTGATCTGCACATTGTTTTCATTTAGTTGCATCTAGTCCAAGATGAGAGCTTCAAAACCACAATTATTTGCTTCTTTTTAAATTCATTTTCCATGACTTTAGAAAATTATCTCAGAAACCCAACTGAAGAAACTGAAACAGTGAAAAAATATGAACAGAAAGACACTGAAATAACTTGTATACTCTTTATCAAAATGTACACATTTGGGAGGGAAGCATTCTGTGCAAATGGTGATTTACTTAAGTAACTTACGGAGGACTAAGGTTTACTTTTTGTTGCCTAGATAAAAATAAAGGAAGGAACCCTTTAAAAAAGGCCAACAAGAAAAGGTAAAATGCTTTCCTTAGACTATTCCTAGGATGACCCTCTCCCCCCAATTTAGACCTGTCCTTTTTTTTTTTCTTTTTCCTTTTTTATTGGTACCGGGGATCGGAACTCACGACAGCCCGCTTGCAAGGCAGGCACTTATGCCACTGAGCTAAATCTCCAGCCCCTCCCCCCAATTTAGAATGGGAAATGCTTAATTCCCAAGCCTCCGGTGGTGCTCAGCATTCTCAAAAGCTAAACACAAGTAGACCTCAGATCACTGACAAAAGCCAGTGTTCCACATTTCAAATGCTGCACGACAGCCTGATTATTATCATTACAGCTAAAAGATCATTTTTCAACAAGGTCTCTGTGCTTCTCCAAAATGTGAAGTGGACAGTGATTCTGGTTCGTCAGCTACTATAACATAAAGTTTAAAATGAAAGATAAAAAAAACAATACTGGGAAACAATGGGTAGGCAGTTATATTTTAGTACTATGAGTCAATATAATTTTATTTAAATGTGTTTTCTAAACTCAAACACAAAAAATAATAATTAAAAATGTCAATAAAGGTTTTGAGATGAACCTTTACCAAAACGAGGGTCAAGTCTTGGGTCTAGCCAAGAAGTGGTCTTGTTCTTATGGTTTATATAGTAAATTTCTCCGTCCTGAGTCATGGCTTGTTCCCATCCATCAGGGAGAGGACCTACAAACACAGGAAAAAAAAAAATATCATGGTTGATTTTGGTGTACCTAAAAAAAAGTAGGAGGGGTGCTAATTTAAAAAGAAATTACATCTTGACATAAAACTATTCATTAAAACAGATTTAAGCCCATGTTTAGAGAAGGTAAATCCATATACCTGATTCTTCTCCCCTAAAAAGAAACTGCCAAATAATAAAACAATTTAGCATACCCAAAGACACAGGGGCCAAGTCATATTTAAAAAAACTTTTGCAAGTGATGACCCAAATAATTAACACTGCTAACATAAGGAAGTGCCACAGTTCAGGGACTTATCCCCAATTCTATTTTTCAACTATACATCATTAGGGACTTCAAGATTCTTTAGAAAGGAATACATGCAAGTGTTTCAGAACAACTAAGTATCATCAACATTCTAATGTGACTGGATTACACTTACACACACACAAACAAAACTGTAATACAGAAAACCACAGTTTAAGCTTATTTTTAAAGCAGACCATAAAGTATAGGAAGAAAGGATTGTGAATGACAGTTTTAGCAGTTTGAAAGAGAGCACAGTAAGTGCTAAAGCTGTTGGAAGGCAAATTTCTTAAAAACAAAGAGGAAAACAAAACCACTTCAAATCTACAGAGTAAGGGCATCTGGGAGATATAACTAAAGAATATGGTCAGTTCTAAGATTTTCCTACTCTCATAAGACTCTAGAAGCCAGACAACTGGTTTGTGGTGGTAATAATAAAGGAAAAAAAAGTCCAGAGTAAATCATTAAAAATATTTAAACACCTGTCTACAATGAAGCAGAACCTCAAAACTGAATGCTAATGATCGGCTATTATAAGTACCCTTATTTGTAAAAATGGCAAAATTATAAGATGCATCCAAAAATACCAAACTTTAAAAATTCTAAGATTCTAAGGTACCATATGACTATACATGGTAATAAACAAATCAACAACAGTCACTGGATGTCTTAGGGAGACCCAACAATTCCACAACACTTTCATTATAGGTTTCAAACCTGCTTGAGTATGTGGACTTTGTTTTGCAGTAACCATGATTAATCTTAGGGTCTTGAGCATGTTGGCCAAGCATTCTACCATTAAAGGATAACTCTGATTGTATAGCGTTTTAAAATTACCTCAATTTGCATCTTAGCTATGTATTAGTAAGACCCACAGTTAATATCTTGGATACAAATCAAATCTTTTCCATTTGTTCATCCTGAAGATTCCACTTCTTTCAGCTCTAAGAATTTATCCATTGATATCAACTCTTCTACCTAACGTCCACAAAGCTTTCTTCCTTAGTAAGTGACCTCCCACTTCTCTTTACTCCAGTATCTTCTATATAACAGCCAGTAGGGTTTTTCTTCTTAAAAATACTATTCCCTACCTCTAACCCACAATGCTGGAGATCAAACCCAGTGCCTGGTGCCTGCTAGACAAATGCTCTACCTCAGAATCATGTTTCCAGCTCTAAAAAACTTTCTAACAAACTTTTGTATGTCAGTTATTATCTTACATAAAAATCCACAGTGGTTCTATTTGCTATGCACCATTTCTGTCCCTATTATGCTGATAAACATAAAATTCACAGAGGTTTGGGGCTGGAGATTTAGCTCAGTGGCTTAAGCGCCTGCCTTGCAAGCAGGCAGTCATGAGTTCAATCCCCAGTACCGATAAAAAGACCAAAAAAAAAAAATTTTTTTTTTTAAAATCCACAGAGGTTTAGTAACTTACCTAAAGTAGACAGTACATTTCAAGCCAGCATACAAACCTAGGTACTACTCTCATGTCAAGTTTTTGTTTTAACCCATACAATATGCTGCTTCATAAACATATAAATACATCTCCCAAATTTATGCCAGTGTTTCTACATATATTTGCAAGGAGGATTTATAACTTTATCTCTACACCCAAGTTTTAATTAAATAGTGTTTCTTATATTATGATCAACAATCAGAAACGAACTTCTAAATGTGTAAGTTTTGGAAATGAACACATAAGACAGGCCCAGCACAAATCAACAGTCCAATAACTGGTGCTTATTTTGTCACTATATCTCCAATTAAAGAATGACACATATCAAATACATCTCAAACAATCACAGTAGTAACTTTATAAGCATATAATGTATGCCAAAAATACGTGCCATACAAAAAAGAACACTTTATGTATTCATTGATGTCTTTAACACTTTGTGGATATAAATAGAACATTAAGTAGAAAAAGATACGCCCAAAATGAGATGGCTTCTTTACTTTGAAGGAACTGCTGATCAGAGACAAGGAGTAGATTAGTACAAATTTAAACAGCTTTAAGTAACTTTGCACCATAAAGGGATCACTTGTAGCTGAATCAAAACAGAGAAAACTAAAAAGAAACAAGAAGCTTCAAACTTGAATGTCAAGGAAATAAAATATAAATTTAAGTTTACTCACCCCCTGCCCCACCCCCCCCAAAAAAAACCAAAAATCCTTGTCAAGTGGTCCTGGGATTCACTGACCTGATTCTTGATTCACTGACAAATACGGATTTCTTTAGCTCTATTTATATTCTGATCTTGGTGTATTGTAACTTCTCTAAAATGAAGTACATACATGAATTAATTTTACTTATACAAAATGATCTAAAACAATTTATACAAAACTTATCTATTGTTAGGCACCAAGGGAAGTTTAGTGTTCAATCTATCAAGCCTTGCATATGTGAAAAAGGCACATACGTGGCCATGTCTACTAGAATAAGATGAAGAAAATGGAACTGTCAGAAGGACAGTCATCAAAATGGTAGTGATTTTTTTTAATACCTGAATGTTCCAAGTTAGCATTCTGGAGGAAATCAAAATTGTCATCTGTTCTCTAACAACAGGGTGGAAATGAAAGCAAGCATCTAGAGATAGGAAGAACTGATATGACTTTTATCAGCCATTTATAGCTTCAAACCATTTTTAATCAAGAATATTTCATTTTCTTAAAGAAACGAAGATCTCTTTCTTTGTGTTGGCAGAATATTCTCTTATACCTAGGTCACAGCATTTATAATATTGTGTTAGTTCATTACGTGTGTTTTCTGTGTGCAATTCCTGAACACCAGCATATATGTGATGCATTTTTCCCCATATTGCCTCGTGTGCTGTCTACTCCTTAGAAAAATGTGGAAATGTTGGCTGACATTTATGTAATCAAAATAAAACTCAAAGTTCTTTATTAATGCTTATGGAATAAAAGATTCTATTTCTTCTGGCAGGGGATTTAGCTCAGTGGCATAAGCGCCTACCTGGCAAGCGCATGATCATGAGTTTGATCCCCAGGACCCCCCCCCCCCAAAAAAAGATTCTGTTTATTTTATGTAAACTAAATCTATTACTTTACATCACCTAAACTGAAGATCAGGCACAGGGATATATCAAATTCTTTCATTCAACAAATATTTATTTAGCTCCTATGTAGTCAAGTACTTTTTCAGGCCTTGGAGATACAGTAATAAAATAATCTCTACTTCATAGAACTTATTATTTTCTAGCCAGAACTAAACTAATGATAAACAGAGAAAAAATTAAAGCAGCACGAACGCAGGAAGAAAATGCACAGCTATGGCAGCATTTGAGAAATGATCTTTACATTTAGTCCTCAATACAATGCAAACTCAAACATGTAATGATCCAAGACATAGACAATGAGGAAACCAGTCACTGTGAATGGGGCAGAACAGGTTAATACATGCAGCATGGTGGCACATGACTGTAATTCCAGCACTCAGGAGACTAACGTAGAAGAATTAAAACAAGTTCAAGGCGAGCCTAGGCTACACAGTGAGAATTTGTCCCTAAAAACCTACAAAACAAAAACACAAAGCCAAAAACAAAAAGCCCCACAACTAGAAAACTTTTTATCATTTCAACCCATAAAGAAGAGCTGAATGGGTAATATTCACAAAAGATTTCTGTTACCAAAGAGTAGTAAAAATTCCTCCAAATTGATGGATAATCTGTGGACAAGTCAAAACAGGCAACAAACATCCATTCCACTTCACTTTTTTATACTCTAAAGCTAGGGCTTTAGCCGTCAAAAAGATATAGGAGTTAAAGGATGGCCTCCCTTGCCTGATCCTCACACCAAAGCTTTGCAGGAAGATGAGAATAAAACAGGCCTTGCATCAAGAAGGGGGAGAAAAAGAGGCCAGCATTTCAGTGACATGTAAAGAGGGTAAGAAATCTGAATTAGGAAAACCAAAAGACAGTGGTAGGCTACAATTAAAGTAATTCATAAATATTCTTGCAGAAAGTAATTTCCATATAAAGCTTTACTAACACTACTTGAATTATAACCTATCTACTGTAGCCAAATAGTAACCTGAAATACTTTAAAAACAAAGAAAATACTCTGGCAGTAATACTGAAAGTGATGCAACGTTAACTTCTTGCTATTGCCTAAGGACTCTCTTGCATTAGTAATGACTAAAACCATCTGCAATGGCTAATCAAACGAGAAAGTCTGGATTAGCTACATCAAATTAAATGATCAACCTCTCCCTCTTACCAGCCTCACAATTCAGAAATAAAGAAGTCACCCAGGACACTGAACACTTACGAAACACACCTTGGTGAGTGGTTCAAAATACAAGGCTATGCAATTTTCTTATAAAAATATCCTTTCTTATAAAAAGATCCAATATCCTTTTCAAGGAACCTAATGCTAAAATACTGACCAATTTCCATTTTGAAATTCCATTATTTTGTATTGTAGAATCACAAACTTCCTACAACATGCAAAATACCATACTAAGTTCTTTGCAGGCAAATATTAACTCACCAACCCCAACAACACAGGTACAAGTGTTATCTCCACTTTACAGAGCAGGAAGCTAAGAAAAGTTAACTTATTCAAGATTACTCAGTACAAGCAGAGCTGATCTTTAGACCCTGAGTGTTTAGCTCTCCAGACATGCAAGTATGACAAATAGTAATCAAAAGTTGTATGTTAAAAACTGTTCTCCTT